GCCTCTGTGTGTGCCTCTGTGTGTGCCTCTGTGTGTGCCTCTGTGTGTGCCTCTGTGTGACTGTGTGTGACTCTGTGTGACTCTGTGTGATTCTGTGTGATTCTGTGTGTGTGTGTGTGTGTGTGTATGTGTGTGTGTGTGTGTGAGTGTGTGTCTCTCTGTCTCTGCCTCTGTCTGTCTGTGTGTCTCTGTGTCGTATGTTACCCCAACACCAGCATATACCCGAATAGTTCTGTGGCTGTGTGTGTGCATGTTTTCATGTTACCCCAACCCCATCATGTGCCCAATCAGGACTGTGGTTGCGTGTGTTTCACGTTACCCCAACACTACCATGTGCCCCAACAGTCCTGTGTGTGTGTGTGTGTGTGTTTGTGTGTTTTCTTGTTACCCCAACATCGCCTGCTTGTGTGTACATGGTGTGTGTGTGTGTACACATGAGTGTTTACACACACAGACACACGCACAGACAGAAAGAGAGAAGAGAGAGAAGAGACGGAGAGAGAAAAACTCGAGCTGGTGCCACACGCGTTGATGTAGCCTGAGGAGTACTCCACCATGGGACTCCACCAAGGACGTCTGTCTGTCTGTCTGTCTTAGGTTTTTATTTATTTATTCGTTTATTTATTTAATCATTTATTTATTCATTTGTTTATCCATTTGTTTATCCATTTATTTATTTATTTCTGTCTGTCTGTCTGTCTGTCTGTCTGTCTGTCTGTCTGTCTGCAACTACCCATCCATAGGTAGGCATAGATAGTTAGATAGGTAGATGTAAAAGATGGATGTAGGTACATAGGTAGACAGTGGGAAGACAGATGGCACACAACTGTTGGAACACAGTGATTAGGACAGTTGGTGGACAGTTAGCAGACGGTTGGTAGGCGTTTGGCAGACAGTTGACCCCATAACCGTTGGCAGACAGTTGGCACACAGTTGAGCAGGCAGTGGGCAGACAGGTGGCAGGCAGTTGCTGACATGACAGGTGGACAGTCAGTTTTAAAACACAGAGTTGATAGTACAGTTGTTTGTTAGTCGTTAGTCAGTTATGAGACAGTTGGAAGGTAGTTAATAAGGAGTTAGCAGGCAATCAGGCAGATGATGTGGCGGCAGACACTTTATGGACACTTACTAAGTAAAAAGGAAGTTAGCAGGCACACACATTGCTGGTCGTCAGGACACTAGTAAAATGTAGGGTTGGCAGTTGGCAAATAGTCAAGTCAGTACACAGTTCAAAGGCAGTTGGCGGACAGATCAGAGACAGTTAGTTGGCAAAACAGTTGGCCAACAGTTGAAAGCAAATTGTGGTAGGCAGTTGGGAGGAAGATAATAGACAGTTAGCAGACAGTTAGTAGCAGTTAACAGATATCAGCGTTTAATGAAGTTCTGCTTAGGAGGACATGCTGAATTTAACTGGCATGGCCACACTGAGGCATGGATGGGAGTGTGGGCTACACAGCCGCCTGGCTCCTGTGCAGCAGGGGCCAGCATCCTCCTTTCTGGTATCGTGGATCCAGTATGGGTGGCAGCACAGTGCAGGAAGTGGAGGATGCTGCGAGGACATTGCTTCACATGGAGGAGAGGGCCTGTGTGTAGTAGTGTGTAGTCTGCTGATGTTGCAACATCCCATGAGAGATCTAGAGAGAGCTCTAGCCTGCTGCCCTTTATATGTTTCTTTGTAACTTTGAGAAGTGACAGCACTCCACCTCCTCCCTGGTGTGGCAGGGCCTATTAGGGGTGGGGACATGAAAAGGGGGCAAAGGGATGGGGACATGAAAAATTAGCCATGAAAGGTGGACAGCACATAAGGTGGGGACCACACAAAAAAATACGTAGGTGTGGAAGCTCCACCCACAGTGATGGCCCCACACCCTACCCAGCTGCCTATGCCCTCTTACAACAATATGAGAGGACCTTCTCACCCCAGGGGAGCACCACACCATAATGGAACCACTAATTCCCAATTCTATGGACCCACGGCCACACGGTCACATGGCCACACAGCCACGCAGCCACATGGCCACATGGCCACACGGTCACATGGCCACACAGCCACATGGCCACACAGCCACATGGCCACACAGCCACATGGCCACACAGCCACACGGCCACACAGCCACACGGCCACATGGCCACATGGCCACATGGCCACATGGCCACGTGGCCACATGGCCACATGGCCACATGGACATGGGCAATCCTATAGGGCGGGGGCCCCCTGGGCGCTCCATGCTGGTGCACCGCCCAAAAAGGGAAGGGGGCACAGTGTAAGCCAAGGTGTCATCGTGGAAGGAAGCTGGGGACCAGGACTGCAGGTGGGTAGCTCAAGCAGATGTGGGAGCCAGCTCCTCATCCCAGCCACCTGCTTCTATATCATCAGAGCCTAGTATAGTACAAGCACCTCAGAAACCCAAAAGCAATGATCCACGCCTCAAGCTCTCGGGCAAAGGCATCCATGGGTTTTGCCCTTGCAGCTCCAATCAGAATCCTACTGCTTGCACACCTTCCAGGCAGGGCAGCACTCCCTGCTTAAATGGATGCGTCAGCTGCGATTCCTGCATTGTTGTGGATACTGTACATGCTTGGTACAACATCATCCACTTCAATGGGACAAATCGTCCCTTTGACAGGGTTTTAAATGCAGATTGCAGGAAAAAAAGAAAACATAAAAGATAGTAATATGCGTGGCTGAATGCACGTCTTCACACAATAATGTACAGCACGGCTGTTCTGAAAATGGCCCATTTTTCCCCCGGTAGTGTACCCCCTAAAACCCAAAACCCTAAACCCTAAACCCTAAAACCCTAAAACCCTAAACCCTAATCCAGGGTTTGGAAAATATTTGGGTGACCCACAACCTTGGCCACCCAGCTTCTCACAATTCTGGCCATCTCCACACGGCGTTCTGGCAATGCTTCAGCAACAAATGCCTCAGGAATGCAGTTTCCATAAGCAAATACAGGAATGACCTGAAGGCCTTTCTTGGGAATGTAGAGGTTACTCATCTGCATACAAAGATCAGTAGTTATAGTCCAAGTAGTAAAAACATCATTTATACAACACATGCATGCCTACCAAAACATCCCCAAGGTAAATAGGATCTCCCTTAAAGAATTTCTTGATCTTGCATACCCCTTTCAGAACTGCTTGAAAAGGACACATAGTATCCTGCATGATCCCTCCTACTTACTTGGTATTACTTTTGTATGAAGACCCTAAGATGATGAGGAGAAGGAAACCCCGAAGTAGATGAAGAAGAAGAAGAAAGAGAGCAGTAGATATTAAAACCCTAGAACTCTCTTGAAGATCTGTGCACAAAGGAAGTTGGAAATTACAGCCTTAGTAAACTATGTGATAAACCCTGTAGAAAAGCAGGAAGGTATTCAAGTGTAAATGTCAGAAACAAAACAGTAAAGGTTGACTAGAGAGGAAAATGTCTTTTTGGACCCTACCTAAACATGCCCCAACCCATGAAGCACCTTCAATCCACCCTATCAACTGATATAATGATAGTCCCAAAACCTAAACCCTGTCTGGCTTCCACTGATATCCATACAGCCTAAGTAGAAGTTAAAGTCCAAAGTAGTATAACCATCATTTACACAACACAAGCATGTGTACCAAAACATGCCCAAGGTAAATAGGATCTCCCTTCAAGCATTTCTTAATCTTGCATACCCCTTTTAGAACTGCTTGAAAAGGACACACAGTATCCTGCATGATCCCTCACACTCACTTGGAAATGCTTGTATATGAAGACCACTAAGATGTGGAGAAGAAGACCCAAAAGTAGAAGAAGAAGAAGAATGAGAGCAGTAGATATTAAAACCTAAGAACTCTCTTGAAGATCTGTGCACAAAGGAAGTTGGAAATTCAGCACTTAGTAGTAAACTATGTGATAAATATATAGAAAAGAAGAAAGGTATTCAAGTATAAATGTCTGAAACAAAACAGTAAAGATTTTCTAAGTTGGCTGGCAATAAGAGGGAAATGTCCTTTTGGACCCTACCTAGACATGCCCCAACCCATGAAGCACCTTCAATCCACCATACCAACTGATATAATGATAGTCCCAAAACCTAAACCATGTCTAGCTTCCACTGATATCCATACAGCCTAAGTAGTTAGTAGTTATAGTCCAAAGTAGTATAACCATCATTTACACAACACAATCATGTCTACCAAAACATGCCCAAGGTAAATAGGATCTCCCTTAAAGCATTTCTTGATCTTGATTACCCGTTTTAGAACTGCTTAAAAATGACACACAGTATCCTGCATGATCCCTCCTACTTACTTGGAAATGCTTGTGTATGTAAGCCACAAAGAGATGAGGAGAAGAAGACCCCGAAGTAGAAGAAGAAGAACCCTAAGAAAATGCGGCAGATATAAAAAACTAAGAACTCTATTGAAGATCTGTGCACAAAGGAAGTTGGAAATTACAGCCTTAGTAGTAAACTATGTGATAAATTTTAGAAAAGCAGAAAGGTATTCAGGTATAAATGTCTGAAACAAAGCAGTACAGGTTTTCTTAGTTGGCTGACAAAAAGAAGAAAACCTTTAAGACCTAACCCTAAGTTTAAACCCCAACCCATGAAGCACCTTTAATCCACCATACCAACAAACTTAATTATGGTCCCAAAACCTAAACCATGTCTAGCTTCCTCTGATATCCATACAGCCTAAGTAGTTAGTAGTTATAGTCCAAAGTAGTAGAACCATCATTTACACAACACAATCATGTCTACCAAAACATGCCCAAGGTAAATAGGATCTCCCTTAAAGCATTTCTTGATCTTGATTACCCGTTTTAGAACTGCTTAAAAATGACACACAGTATCCTGCATGATCCCTCCTACTTACTTGGAAATGCTTGTGTATGTAAGCCTAACAGGAGATGAGGAGAAGAAGACCCCGAAGTAGAAGAAGAAGAACCCTAAGAAAATGCAGCAGATATAAAAAACTAAGAACTCTATTGAAGATCTGTGCACAAAGGAAGTTGGAAATTACAGCCTTAGTAGTAAACTATGTGATAAATATTTAGAAAAGCAGAAAGGTATTCAGGTATAAATGTCTGAAACAAAGCAGTACAGGTTTTCTTAGTTGACTGACAAAAAGAAGAAAACCAAAGACCTAAACCCTAAGTTTAAACCCCAACCCATGAAGCACCTTTAATCCACCTAAAACCCATAACTTAAACACCTTAATCCACCATACCAACTACAAACCCTAAAACCCTAGTTTGTTAGTCCTATGACCTAAACCATGTCTAGCTTCCTCTGATATCCATACAGCCTAAGTAGTAGTTATAGTAGTAGTTATAGTCTGTGTCATGCACCCTCCCACTTACTTGGAATTGCTTGTGTATGAAGTCCACAAGGAGATGAAGTGAAGAAGAACCCAAAGTAGAGGAAGAAGAAAATGAAGAAGAAAGAGAGCAGCAGAGTAAATGGCTGAAACCGATCAGTAAAGTTTTTGGAGGATAATGGTAGGACACCTAGAGGACTACCCTTGGAATGCCTAGTTCACATGCAGACATGACCATGATGGTGGGTCAGGGGAAACAAACCTATGAAACAACTTCAATCCACTATATCAACAAACCCTAATGATAGTCCCATGACCAAAAATCTGTCTGGCTTCCACTGAAATCCATACAGCCTAAGTAGTTGTTATAGTCTGATGGTCATCCACCATCCCACTTACTTGGAATTTCTTGTGTATGAAGTCCACAAGGAGATGAGGAGAAGAAGATCCCAGAGAAGAGGAAGAAGAAGAAGAAGAAGAAAGAGAGCAGCAGATGTAAATGGCTGAAACATATCAGTAAAGTTTTCGGAGGATAATGGTAGGACACCTAGAGAACTACCCTAGGAATGCCTAGTTCACATGCAGACATGACCATGATGGTGGGTCAGGAACAGATTTTAATTCTGCCTCATCATGCCCCCTGGCCATTATTTCGAGCACAGGAGTCATCCCACCTCGCACAAGTGCGCTGGTTTATTCACTACACCATGACATCTCCAATTTGAGACATGCTGGATGCATGAATCAAACCGCTGACCACAACTTCAATCCACGTATATCAAAAACCCTAATGATAGTCCCATGACCAAAAATCTGTCTAGGCTTATAAATCCAGGATGCTCAGATGGGCATTTGCATCATTACATTCCACTTACTTGGAATTTCTTGTGTGTGAAGACCACAAGGAGATGAGGAGAAGAAGATCCCAGAGAAGAGGAAGAAGAAGAAGAAGAAGAAGAATAAGAAGAAGATAGAGAGCAGCAGATGTAAATTGCTGAAACAAATCAGAAAAGGTTGTGATGAATGGTAGGACACCTGGAGGACTACCCTAGGAATGCATAGTTCACATGCAGACATGACCATGATGGTGGGTCAGGGGAATACAGTT